TCTTATTATCTTCTCCAACATTAGATTAAAGAAGTCACATGAAAGGGAGTCGCCCGGTCTGAAACCTCGTTTTGTGGTGAACGGATCGGAGAGGTCTTTCCCAATTCTGACGGAGCTGGTGGTATTGCTCAACGTCATTTTACACAGCCGTATGAGTTTTGAGGGGATGCCAAATTCAGACATAGCGGCGTATAGGCAACTCCTTTTAGTGCTGTCAAAAGCGGCTTTAAAGTCGACAAATAGGTGGTGAGTGTCGATCCTTTTCTCGCGGGTCTTTTCCAAGATTTGGCGTATTGTGAATACCTGGTCTATGGTGGATTTGCCAGGTCTAAAGCCACACTGATAAGGCCCAATCAGTTCATTGACGGTGGGCTTCAGTCTTTCACACAATACACTCGATAAGACCTTGTAACCTATGCTTACTATCATCTAGTAAAAGGATATTTTGATAGCGATATCTTCTCTGGAGGTTAATCTCTGCACACAGACTACTGGCGTGGACCTCCGCAAAGAATATACTAGGGAGTCTGCCCATGAGCTGCGATCTTTGATCTTGGACCGATGATGCCAGCCCCAATGTCCTCTGGTGTTTTTGAGCCATCTGAGCATCAAATTACAGGGTGCAGCTGAGAGTATTTCTGGATGTTAGTGTCAGTCCAGCTGCTCTATTCCCTAATTCTATTTTGAAGTTCCTTTCGAAGCAAATAACTTTGCCATCATCTCGTGGAAATTAGGTTATGGGGATCTGCTCCCTGAGGGATTCTATGTTACGAGATGATACTACCTTCTCTCTACCCCATCCTTCTCTGGTGAAGTTTATTAGGGATCGTTTAGCTGCCTGCTGCCGTGGGCAGGTGCACATTGCGCCTGTGATGCACATACACGAGACGCTGTAGTCGGGAAGTAGGCTAGGGCTAGACTATCTTTCATTATAACTACTAAATGTGGGGCAACTACGTCCTCTCCCCGTTGTAGAAATGCCGGATAGATACCGTCTACAGGACTTGTACGGATCAAGTGAGCGCGACGGCCACCCGACGCTCTTTCGCGAGAAGATTTTTCTTGAATAGGCATTTCCGTGATCTTGTCGGATGTATCAGGAAAGTGGCAGGACACGTGCTCTTTCTTCCTCGGTGCCAGTGTACGTGCAATTCGGTAGCCTTATTGCTAGTTAGGTTTCTATCCTGCCTTTTTCTAGGCTTTATGCAGTCTCGCCACTGCAGGAGTGGATGTTATATTCTCGCAGAAGCTTCTAAAGCTCTTTGCTTTCCTGATCTCTTTATTGTATGTAGTTAGGCTCGTGGTGTATTCCCCCCGTCACCCAGTTCTTTTTCTATTGCTATTGAATTTCTTCCGCACATCTTTCCTGAGTGCTGAAAGGTCGTGAGACCACCACGAAGTTTTTGCATGATTGTCGGGTTTTGCACCTCTCTAATGCAACTTCGCTCTGAATACTGCAGCAGATTAAATTCCTAACTGAGCAGGAAAAGCCCAGATGTGCCCAACACGTGTCGGGAATGCATAGTCTTCCCCATGACTCGACACACCTCCTCGCAAGCCCACGAAATTCCACTCAACTAACGCCCCCCTCCTTTGGTCCAACCCAGTCGAAGTGATCCTAGGCGTCCAGATAGTTGAGCTTTACGACAACGAATAGGAAACAAGCAGATATAGGCCGGGCTAAGTAAGTCGCAACAACAAAGCGTGAAGAAACTGTCAAGAATCCTTAAGCCCATAAAATTTTTATGAAGCATGTCACAATAACGCGGTGCAAGTGGAATTTCCATTTTTGACAGGGAGTACAAGACGAAATATTTACTACCCCATCATTCAAAAATATGAACAAAAAGATTTGCATGCTGGCACCGGATACGCAAATCTGTGGAGTAAGGGAGCAGAATAAATCGCGTTGGTGAGTGACTTTCCACAGCGCATTCGATTTGAACCACAATTTTAAATTCTATCTACTAAGTGCTAGGTAGAGCTTAACAAAGATAAACATTTGAGTGGTGTTTAATTGGTGTAACTTCAACCACATTTTATAAATTTCGCTATAAAAAATCCTACAGTATCTATGTGTATTCCTTCGGTTTCTGTTGAATTGTAGTTAAACCGCTGCAGGTATTGTCTAGAATAAAAACAAAAATACTGGTAATTACGCTACGTATATTGTGTATATCGATGTTCACTTACCTCTCTTCATTATTTAGACCAGTGTGTTCTAAGCCATTTCCGCCAAAACGGGGTGTAGCTTCGACTAGTCGCATCTGAGGGAATTTTTCGAGAACCCAAGCTACTATGCCTTCATTCTCTGCCTCAGTCACTGTGCAAGTACTATAAACTAACACACCGTGGGGTTTGAGCAAAGGCACAGCTGCCGAAAATAATTTTCTCTGTACTTTCGGATACGATCCGAGCATGGATGACGTCATATTGGATGGAGCTATCAGAAATGGTCTATTCCCCAAAGCGCTACAAGGTGCATCTAGCAAAATTTTATCGAACGTATTAGCCCCAAAAGGTGGTTCAAGTAAACTATGCTTAGCTCCCGCTGGTTTAGATGGATCAAATGCTTTCGTAGCGTCGAAGGCGTACGCACGTATGCTCTTTAAGCCTTCACTCGTTATCTTTTCTTTCATAACTGATATCTTCTTTGGCACCTTATCAAGAGCTATTATTTCTCCTTGATCGGTCATCATCTCTGCAATATGAGTCGTTTTATTTCCGGGGGCTGCACACATGTCTAATATACGTTCGCCAAATTGAGGGTTCAGCACGCGCACGCATAGAATAGAGGGCAGGTTCTGTAGTAGGGCTTCACTGCAGCTTAGATCACCAATACTGGGTACTCCAGACGTTGTGGCCAACATCTCTACTGCGATCCCTTTCAATGGCTCGGGTTCGCTATTTGTACAACTATTAGTTGAGGGACCGAAAATCTGATGACGTTGCATCCGAATAGTACCCACACCCAAAAGAAGTTTATCAGGCGAATCATAGCGTGTATTCGTGCCTTGTTTGCACTTACCCGCTAAATCGGCATATACCAATACTTGCTCACCTAATTTTGTGCCCGCTTCCATAGCTAGAACACCAGGCGCATAGATGTGAGCGCCACGTAGTAAGGACGCACCACAACAACTATCAACTACAACTTCACGTTGTAATTCCGTCTGTTTTAGCTTTATATCCATATTCTTAAGTAATATGGGTGATATGCAAAGCACTTCAGGGATGTTGGAAACTTCGTACACTTGAGGTGGTTGTGGGTATCTTTCTTGTAGTACTAACCGCAATTTTTGTTTGAATGCCTGAACTGTTGTTCGGAGCATATTTACGCGATATGTTGTAATAGTTGGCGGCCGACATAACCAACTCATCAGCTCCCCTAACTGAGCAGGCTGAAAATATTATCAAAAGGCATGTATTTTTGTGTATGACATTGCTATAATGGTTACATTCTTGTATTATTTAAAGTAAAATTTAAATCTTTTAAAAGGGTGTTTAGAATATACCCCAAGTAGGGCATGCTTGTTGTAAAAGGCGACTAAAATTCACTGGTGCGAGTGACCAGAATACCAACTGAAACATCAATCACTGTGGCAACAGGGATAAACTTATGGATTGTACTCCAGGTGGTAGCAAAGAACGTAGATAATAAGAAGGGCAAACTCGTTATAATTGTAGTGAAAAAGAGTAACAGGGGCGCGCGTTCTCTTTTCATCCAACCATAAACGTACTAGGGCAAAAGAGAAGGCACGCCCCTGTTGCTTACACTCGCTGTAATTATAACGAGTTGTCCCTTCTTTTTATCTATGTTCTAACCATGAATCAATAATACAAGGTTAGATAATTATTGACAGCCGCGGTTTGGCACTCCCTTACAAAAAGTTGCATTTACGAAGGACGGAGAAAGGGGAAGAATGAAATCCCTTGGTGCGAAAATGGTTATAGAAAATTACGAAAAGCAGGCAATTAGTAGTGAAATTCCTTTTGTAAATTCTGTAAATTAGCAGGACATCTGGCATTTTAAACGAAAAATTAATATATCTACGTGAATTACGTAATTTATGGGATATTTAGCTGTATAAAAAAAACTGCAAAAGGACTCAGAATTATATTAAAACTACTATGAGATTTATGTAAACATCCAATTTAAAAACAATTTATGTTTTCATCAGTTAAATGTGCTTCATACGCATATACAAATAACCATATTGCGCAAAAGCTTATACTTCTATTTCACACCAAATCTACACTTTTTCCAAGTAAATTTGCAAAGAAGCAACACGGTGCCACTGCCAAGGGAGCGGTGCGAGAGAGACAACTGTCAGTTTATCGAATCTTGTCAAGAATGATAGAATACAAGATTGCGCCGATCAGAGAGGATTTTTGAGAATAACTTTTGTGTGACGTCACACTGGTGCAATTGCGAGAGAGAAATTCCAAAACGTGAGCAAGAATGGAAGAAGAAGAAAAAATTTTGCAAGGAAAACGTAAACAAGTTGCACAAGTGTGACGTCATGCAAACAACGATTCTGTCAAATTCGTTAAAAGAGGAATAGCGGTCCGAGATCGGCACAACCTTTGTATTCTCTCAATCGTGGAACCTTGTATTATTATTGATTCATGCGTTCTAACAAGAGTGGAAATCAACCGCATTTGCGCCAGTGTTATGGATTCTGAAAGACCAAATTAACACACAAGTCTCCAGCGTTTACGCGAGAGAACGCATCGCTGAGGAGAGTAGATTTGCCTCTTCACTCTTCTTCAGAGACGGAGCCTGACCATCCGCCAGTGTTGACATACATGGGCTTTTCCTACCAAAACTGGTAAGTTTTTTTTCATTTGGTAAATTGGTAGGCTAGATTGAATTTTGGTAGATTCCGAGACAATAAGAGTTATTTGCGAAAAATAAATAATATGTATCTCCAAATATTTTAGCAACGTATAACGGGGACCGCAAACATGTAAATATGCTGGATTCGTAAGTACAATGTATACTCCTTTAATTGCCATATATGTACAGATGCGTGCAACTAATTAGCAACGAAATTCAAAACGATATTGCTTGCAAATTATGTTTATTTATTTATTTTTAATAATTTTCATTTAAAATATAATTCAATCTATATCAGAAATCACAATAACAAAAGTTGCAAAGCTTGCACAAATTGCAAAAAAATTAATCAAACTTAAAAAAATTGTCATCAAAATTTCAAAATTTTTAATTAGAATATTTAGAAAGTTTTCGGGTATGCAGTTTTGTAGCCCATTCAATTTTAGTATAATAAAGTTCAAGTTTCAAGTCGCTAAAAATTACCGGTGATTTTTTAGAATTTTTTTTGTCGAGGGTGTTGCGGATTTTTTTCCATGTAAAAAATATTTTGATCATGCGTTATATTGGAAGAAAATGCGCAACGGAAGAAAATGCGCAATTTTGATGACAATTTTTGAAGTTTGATTAATTTTTTTGCAATTTGTGCAAGCTTTGCAACTTTTGTTATTGTGGTTTCTGAAATAGATTGAAATATATTTTAAATGAAAATTATTAAAAATAAATAAATAAACATAATTTGCAAGGAATATCGTTTTGAATTTCGTTGCTAATTAGTTGCACGCATCTGTATGTGTTCGTATGGAATAGTAGTTTATGTCGAAAGGCTGGCTTTAGTATAATGCATTATTCGCAGCATACGATTGCGAATGACGCCCTGGCGCCAAGCCGTTGAAGAACTTTTGGCAAATAAACGCGCAAGAAATAGTTCCGATACTAGCAAGTCAACATTCTTATTAAGTCTCATCAAAAAATTTCTTGTAGTTTAAAGGGAATGCCGCATTATACTAAGGCCAGCTTCCCAGCATAAACTAATATTTCACACGAACACAGATGTATACTTTATGTGCCTACAAGTTATCTAATTTAAATTGAACTGAACTATGAAAGTTGTGATAAACTACATACGTATGCATATGCACTGAAGACTGGTGCGCTGGGCTTGCCAATAAACCCACTGAAGTCCACCATTGCCCCATTTATCAAAAATCAAAAGAAGGAAAGTCAACTTGACTAGACCCACCTTGGCAGGGACAGAAATTGAGTTCTCAGACGAGGAGAAGTATCTAGGGGTAACTCTGGAAAAAGTCTCAATCGGAACTCACATCTCGCGAATGTTACCAACAAGGCTACAAGGGCATTTTAAGCATGTCAGAGACTTTATGGGAAGACGTGAGGAATTTCGTCTAAACTAACGTATTGGTCTTTGAATACGGTGTAAAACCCGTTGTTACATATGCGGCTTTGGCCTGGTAGCCAAAAGCTAAGCTAGTAGACGCGGGTGCCCCCTGAGCAAGCTGCACCGACTGGTCTGCGTAGTCACCACAGGAGCTATGCGCACATGTACAGCGGATGCCCTTGGTGTCACGTGTAATTTAGGGGTTGACAAGCCATTCACGGATGACCCCGAGTTATCCTTCTATAAGATCAGAATTCATGAAAGGGACTGCTGTAAAGCGATAATTATGATTAGTGAAGGGTCCCAAGTATGGTATACCGACAGATCGAAGATGGACAACCGGAGTACTGGGGCAGGCGTACTTGGATCAAGATTCGACGAAAGTCTGGCAATGGGCACATACCCAACCATGTTCCACACGGAAGCATTCGAAGTCTGTGTTCCCGAATGTCTTTGTAGAAGGACAAATGGAGCCACAATAAATATGTCGGATAGTCAGCAAGCGTTAAGGGCTTTACACCAGTGGTCAGCATACTAACATTCAAACGAATCAATAAGTGAGACAGTTTGCGTTAAATGCACTGTTCAGCTCGAGCTCTATGTGTGAAACACACATGTGCTCAGAGAGCGCTAAGTGAGCTATGGCCTACCTGCCACCATTAAGACGGATATAAAGCTCTTTTGATTCACCTGGAAGCCCACAATAGCGTAACGCTGCGGTGGGTTCCGGGACATAAAGGGTTTGAAGGCAAACAAAGGGCTGACTTTAACTTCTTAAATAGCCTAAGGTTGGAGTGATTTCAATTAGCGTTCAGCACAATAGATATTTTTAGGTCGTAGCTTGAGTATTCCGGACGTAATAATAATAATAATATATATGTATGTGTAAAGAGACATATGTACATTTGTATAAGTCCGTACAGTAAAATGTTAATGTATGTTTTTTGGTAGGTTTTGACTGGTAGAAAAAAAAATGTGTCCGTGGCAACACTGCCATCCGCTTACAAGGGGTATGAGTCGGGAAGCAGTTATCTGCCAAAATCCGCTCAGTGATGGCGTAAATTTATTGACTTTCCCTCTTGGGATGAAGGAGCGTCCAAATCTTACTAGGCCCTAATGTTCTCTAGAAACGTGTCGATGACACTCGTTACCACTGTTTTTTTACGAAAACTCGGTTAGACCGACGGATTGTCTTAGTAGTGTCCTTCGACTTGCTCTTCTTATTTGACGTCATAACCGCCGAAGGGATTTTGGGTGACTTCAAAAAAGCACGTCAGTCTTTCGCGCCATTTCGGATAAAGATTATCCGCCTGGTCCACCCTTTAGCCGCACTCCTGTGCCTTGGTGATATAAGAAGCTTCGGAAATTGAGGAGTTATTCGAAGAAACTTTCAAACCGAAACCTTTAAAATAAATACTAGGATGGACTGAGAATACTACCGCTGCATGCTCGTGATCTCGGTCATGTTCACCGCTTGTGGGCATTTTGGAGCGCATGATCGCCATAAATTAAAAAATGTTGATTTTCAGCTAGCGATACATTGAAAGCATATTCAACTGTCCCATTTTGCGTTGATGCTTGAAGTGTTCAGATCGGCGGATAAATGCTTACAAACCTTGTGGGTTAATTGAAATTTTTATAAATGAGGTTAAATTATGTAAACTTTATGTATGTACATCCATGTTAATGATGTGACCGCAAAACCACAAACGAGGCACTCGTCGTCTGTGGCCAACTACAGCCGAACATTTTGTTTGTAGGGTGTTCTCGTACTCTTGCAAATTTGGAATAGTGATTCGCTTTCGCGTTATCCCCTAATTACACACTCACTTGCATTTGTAAGAACGAACTCTTCGAATTTTTTAGATCTATGCACACTTAAGATGCTGTTTTCGGCCTTTATACGGTCTAATTTAGAGTATGCAGCATTTATTTGGAGATCATACTGTGCTTTTCATAAAAATAGGTTGGAAAGAGTTCAGAAAATGTTGCTCCGTTACGCTTTACATTCTTTAAACTTACCGTCTTCATGCTCCCGATTCCGTCATATGAGACTCTGAGCAGTCTGATCAGTCTACTGTCCTTAAAATACAGAGGAACACTCTTGCTCATATATTTTATATCTGGCATGGCCCTTGGCCCGCCGTCCCTGCTTGAGTAGCGTC